CGTAAATACTTTTACATAATTTATAATGGCATGCAATATCATGGTCTGAGAATTTGATTTTTTACTAAGGATCACATTTTTCATTTTAGACGGGTCAATATTATAGTAGAGTTGATCGATTTCTTGCATACCAACTGGCAACTACCTCTAGTTGCTGAACACGATATTATAGTAAAACTCAAATTGAGCAAAAGGAATATACTTTATTAGACAATTTGTTAATTTTTGCCCATTGACCTCCATGTTAAAAGTATAGTACATGGTATATCATATTAACAGTGAACAGTGAACACATAGATTTGAAATCTTTAATTTAGACTAAAAAGACTTTTTTCTATTTGATGATGAAAGACAAAATGTAAATGTAATTTTTGCATCAACATGTCCTCATATAACTCATGTCATGTGATATGTTTTTCACCTTGCAGACAGATTAGGTGTAACATATGTATTTTTCAGGATAAATGTTCAAATAAGATAATTTTATTTCTTGTCACTTAAACATGGCCTTATATGGATATCAAAGCTATCTGTTGCCTGCCTGATTCAGTTCTGGGATTGGGCTTATCTCCTTCATTTGTTAGTTGAGGTTTGCCTGAGCATGGTGGTTCCTACTTACTATAAACCAAACCACAACATTCTTGGCATTCTTCAAAGTTAACTTCCCACTACCTGTAAATAAAATGTTTATGACCTGTCAGTGACCTGTACATGAAATAGAGCAGAGTACACAAAATAAGTGAGAAATTAATATTTTTAGAATCCATACATTTTGTTAAGATGAGAGGGAAAATGTTTGAGTATGCAAAATCTGAGTAAAGTTCAAGCCAGGCCTCTAGAAATAACACAATTGGTCATTTATGGCTAGTGGCCAATATATCTTACCTTTAACTACATGGACTTATATTACCGTATTCTCTGTAATTACCGCCCACTCTCTAATAAGCGCCCACCCCGCTTCACAAAGTTCAAGAAACATCGAGGAATCAACAAGAATTGAAGAATATATCAGGAAAAAAATATTTCTCAAAATCCAGGAGCGGGCGATAATAGAGTACTTACCCTAAAACTGCTGTAAACACGACGCGTTTTGTAATTCTATGCATCCTCTCGATACATATCTATCGATGGGTGCTTCCCACACCATACCATGCTAATATTGTCTCCAAATAGTCCATAATGAATGAAGGAATTGTTATTTATCGGCATTCAGAAATTTCAAAAGCTACTGCGCAGATGTTCTGCGCATGTCAAGGTCGTGAACTTTCTGGTTTCTTTTTAATGTTTCTCGACTTTTACACGACTTTTGCACGAATAATGATGATCTCTCATCAAATTAGAAATAATGTATAACTTTAGATCGATATCCAGCAGTCTCTAGTGGAAATATTGAAGGTAATCGGCGATAATGACAAAGTGGGCGTGCCGGAAATAAATTAGACATAGACGGGTCTTCAACCACTGTCAATATTGTCTAAGCGATCTTTACCGTATTCTCTCCAATAACAGCACTTGTCATATTATTATAAAAATATGTTGAAGAAAATGCATTCTTGTCAAGAAAAATTGCCATACATGAAATTCCTCGGGATTTCTGATTTCTTTCATACATGGGCGCTTATTAAAATGGTCTAAATAATGTATTTTCAATTTTCTAAACGCCCTGGGCGCTAATTACAGAGAATACGGTACCTGCATTTTGAACATAAACCACTAGATAATCTTAACATTATATGTTATAAGCTGATTATACAAGTACAGTATATAATATATATTTGTATATATATATATAAAATTGACTCATTTAGATACAGGATTTTGACTATTTAAAGAACATTAAATTAATAATACATATTACAGTAAAACCTATCTTAGTGAACACCTTTCTTTGTGAACACCTGTCTCTAGTGGACAACCTTCTTCCCACATACTCTATCGACTTATTTCTAAATTATCCTATCTGTGGTAAACAGCAATTTTATGTTCAATATTCAGTATTCACAGATTTTATTGTATATTGATGTTGTTGAGAGGAATGAAAATCTCAATATTTTTCAATTCATACTGCGATGTGGGTATATTAAATGATTAATCAATTGTGTGAGCTTATTGAAGTCTGTAATATTATATTAATCTTGGCATCTTGGTCAAATAATCCAGTTTGATATGTAACTTTATACATAGAGCATCTTTGGTAGAGGTGACTACCAGATTTATGTTCTAAAGGCCATTACTTTAGCCCTAAACTAAACCTAGTCTAATCTAATGATATATCTAGTATTATGTTTGAAGATGAGATGCAGTGATTATAAAAATGGGTGATACCTCTCCATAGTTTTCACTTGTAACCTATACGTCAATATATTGACTTTTATATTTTTTGTGTAGAATGACTAAATGCTCAGTATTGACATAGTCTTTGAAAATCTGATCAATGACATTGGAATGGGTAAAGGTACTTCATTGATATGTTCTTTTTATAATTATTACATGTAATCAATATGACATCGGAGTCAATAAAAGACAGATTTGATAAATAGTATGTATTTATGAAAGAAGGATTTTCTTTTTTTAATTTGATAATACATGTACATACTATCTTGTATTCCTCTGTTAAAGGAATCAGAAGCTAACTTTACTGAATAATTTGGAATGGTTTAACAATCATTCCCAAGTACAGTGTCAGAGTTTAGTTTATGCAGATGAAGCTCTCTTTTAAAGAAGCGAAATCAAATCTATTTCGGAACATTTGACTAGGTATTGACCAATCAAACTGTTGGAGAGGGTACAAAATTCAGGAAAGTCGTAATCAAGTTCTGTTGTTTATCCATCTCATGTTCAGAATTTCTTACCACTTGAGCCTTTGCCCATTAAACATTTATAATCAACCCTGCTATATTAGGATATTATGAGAGATTATGCAATGACTGTTGGATTGTTTACAGCACTGATTATGGACATATAATATGAGCATTGTGGGAGGTCGAGACCTTCTGTTGGTTCATTTCTGGAAAGATATTGATGGCTTGAAAACAGGAAGATGTGATAAGTTTCGAAATGAAGTATGTGTGGTTTCACCATATTGGAACATGAACATCTCAAATCTGATTACTAGACAAAAATTTCCAGCTTTTCACCTCTATACATAGTTTCATCATAAATATAGAATTCAATGCTATTTAAAGTCTATGTAATCAGTTCAAATCAACTTGATCTTGACCTTATCATCCTGTTATCAGTTTGAAGTGTATGCCGGCTACCCTTTGCATTCGTTTGACTTCACTTCTTAAAAGAGAGTTTCGTCTTCACTCTTTCAAACTAAAATAAACCTGTGAACTCACCGCGCCAATCAGTGTTCGTCGGCCAAATTTGACCGACGTTCTATATATGGTCATTCCTTCTGACGTCATCGTTGAGCCCGGAATTGACCAATGACATGCGCATATTTAATTAGAACGCATTTAGCGTATGTTTCTTCAAGCTCGCTGATTGGTGGAAGAAAGGTCAGCGCGTAGGTCAGAAGTGATTTATTACCCAAACTGTCACCGGTACCCGTCGTGGGGGCGGGGCTACTAAACTGTAATATGGTCTCTACTAGGCAGAGTGTAGTTTAACTAGACTCTGCACGCAGGGTATATGCCGGCTTATGTACTGTAAAATTTTATTCATGTAAATGTACTTGAATAATGCTAATTTACACACACTGTGTTCTTTTACGTATAAAATTCAACTAAAAGAGAAGAACCCCATGGGTAAACAAATCTTTTCAAAATTGTCAATATTATTCACAATTGAAAAGCCTTTACAATAAATGGGGATTTTCCCACGTTTAAATATATTTTCTGTATTCAGATATACACACATAATACAGTGTAATAAATCGACCAGATACCTAACGGATGATGTCATTCTCCCTTTCGTTTCTTTCAAAGGAACTGTCATAAACATGTTTTGTAACTAGCCCAGAATCATCCCATGACCCTAATATTACCTAGACCCAATTTAATGAGTAAACACCTGTACTGAAGATACATTACAAAATGTTACATACAGCATAACTGTTCATTGTGAGGCATGTTATCTTTGTATTATACAGTAACTCTGTTTAAAGTGATTACCTGAAAGTACTGTTACAGTGAGAGGTGTCACACAAAGTGTTTCTGTTAACATGGGAGTAAATGGGACAAAGCACGTTCATACTTGAGGTGTTCAGATAAGGTGTTTACTTACCTATGACTATGTTGCATTAAAGTTAATAGAGATGTTAAATTACTTATATTTGAGAAAGTGAAAAAATGTTAAGTTTTGAAAAAAGTTCATTTTGGTTTAAGTATTCACCAAAATGTGTGGCTGCAAGATAGAGATATTAGAGTCAAATTCAAATTGAATTCTTCCTTAGTTGTATATGGTGTAAGACATGGCCAGAGTCAGATTGCATAAGCAGCAGCTCACTTTAGAAGTCTCATCATGTTTATCCTGTCTGATGTAAAATGTTGACATCATGACTTTGTTATTTGTGTGGGATGCAGAGATTAGAGCAGGTCCTATCAGGAACATGGTATATCAACATTCTTCAGGTGCAAATAATCATCATGAATTTTCTCATACTCAGATATTGTTACAGTTATTACCTCACAATTTCAGTTATATACTGTACTCCGATCAAAAGTCTAGGATTAGCTTGATATCTATTCTTGGTCCATCCCCCTATCAGAATTTTTATCCCTTCATATTTCCCTGGGAAAACAGTAGTATTATGTAATAAATTGTTATGTTACTTGTATATGTACATCGCAACTTTGTCACCTTCTATATCTACCTTTAAACCTGTAATATCATAATAGATGAATTATCAACAAATTACTTTCTGTAAATCAGACTCTAAAATATCTATTATAAACCTATTATAATCTTGTTTCTAAATGTTCCCTCTTCACATTAAAAGAGACCACTGGTGGTTAACTGTTTTCTGATATGAGTGCTTTTTGTTGTATTTGCAGGATGGCCTGATCCAGTTCTACGAAGGAGGTAACAAAATACAAGACCAACAGTGGCCATCATTTAAAACTATATTCAGCTATGCTGCTGGGGCAGTGGGAATTGTAACAATAGGAGCCTTCCTTGCACAGAAATCATGATAATACGCACCTATGGAAACGTCTACATGTTGGTGGATGTATCTACATGCTAGTGGATAAATGTACATGCTAGTGGACACATTTACATGCTAGTGGATAAATGTACATGCTAGTGGACACATTTACATGTTAGTGGACACTTTGGTAGATACTATTTGATACATTGTCATACTAGTGGATACTTTGTGTGTACATTGTACATCTACTTGTCAACATAAGACGCAATGTCTGTTTGCGAGTGGACACATCTGCACTCATGTAGACACATCTTCATCAGTCCAGAAAGTGCAACTCAACCAACATATGCCAGCTGTTAAACCAAAAATGACATTCGGAAGTTAGATCTTAATTAGCATTAGCTGGAAATTGCGCTAGTAGAGGAACAACCCTTTCTGACATCTTTGATCCTTACTCTCTTAACAACAATGGATGCATTCATGTAATCTATGGGAGATTGGCTGTCAGGATGAATCTGTTCTAGCTGCCAAAATGCTGTACAGTAGAGTAGACTTGTTTTCTGTGCTATGGTATGGTATGGTATGGCATGGAGGAACGCAGTGCAGTAAAGTGCAGTATGATATGGAGTGGTTCGTTGCAGAATACAGTGCGGCATAGTACAGTGCAGAGCTTTGAATGTTGTATATAGTAGCTTAGGTGTATATATATTGCAGTATCATGAACTGTACCTAGAAAATAGGTAAAGAACAGTATCTACATAATAGGCTGTAGACAGTACGTACCAATTGGTACTTTACACTACCTATATTCATTTAATAGACAATACCTCCATGCAAGGTAGAATTTGCACAAGAATTGCATTGAGGATGTTTGCTCCCTGAATATCTGCCAATAGAGATATGGTTTACTCCCTAAATACCCCACACTAGTACTAATTGGAAAAAATAATCACTATAGATTACTTCCAACCAATCAATACAGAGGTGAAGGATTTTCTTTGTGATATGATAATCACACACATCGTTGGGATTACATTAATCGTTAACAGTGATAAAAAACTGCCTACGCCTAGGTATATTTAGTGAATAAACGCCCATGTCTGGCGATTACCACAGGTGCTATGGCTACTGTAAGTGATAATAAATTGATTTCTCCAGTTCTCATTACATTGAGTAGGTAGATGTGCTCTTTATTCACCCAAGTGTTAGCGACAATATCTGTGTTAAGACCTTTCCTTGATGTATGTTTGTGAACATTGACATCCAGTGACATCAATGTGACATCATTGTCCACAGTTACAAGGGCATTACCCACATACCCAGGATATTAAAATTTGAAATTATAATTTATGGTTAGATAACAGTAATATCATCAACTTTTTGTATCATTTGAAAATGTTTTTACAGTGAAAACTATACATGAATCTCACAATAAACAAGCAACGTTTTGTCAATTCAGAAAAAGATTTTTATTTCAGAAATGTCCTTAATGTTGAAATGATAAAATTGTTTGAGCTTGGACAAGACTATCTTTGGAAAGTCTTTTCAAATGAAATAAAACCCATATATTTTGCTCTTTGACATTGGTGAAGGATTCCCCCTTTCCGATTCCTGTTCAGCCAAAAATATATGGGGAATATTAGAAAACATTTGGTGGGGGGGGGATAGTAGAATACATTTGGGGGAATCCGAGTGAAAGAAATGTTCAAAATCTTACATTTATGAGATGCCCTCAACTTCAAATAATCGCATGCATGTGTGTAGTCCATGTAAAAATCCTGGGATTACAATACAATGGTGTTAGAAGATATGAACAGAGCCAGTGTTTTATTTTAATCTATTTATTAAATTGTTATATAATAAGATATCCTTATTAGTTGTTAAGGGTCAGTTGTTTTATACATTTTACACACTAAAATCAAGAGGGAGTTTCTTATTTTGAGAAAAATCTAGAATTGCTCAAAATTGGGAATGTTCAAAGACTTATTATCCTGTAGAGGCTGCTAAACAGTCACGATAAACCAGAATACCTCTATGATTAATCCATCCCATTGAACGAAATAAACGCAGAATCAAAAGAACGATAAAACGGTACAGGGAATGATGTTATTCTTTCATTTTAGTGTGTAAAATGAGTTACATGTACAAAGAATTGTATTTATACCAATTAGTTTAGAAGTTGTGTACATACTGTATCTATATCCTCGTAAACTATAATCATTATGTAATAATGTTACTGTTTCGTTTTGCATCAGGTCTCTGCTTCCGATCCCCCCATTGGTACCAGTACCTGTTACACAGCAAGGTTAAATATTTTGTTGCAAAGCAGTTTGAGAAAAAACTTAGCAACGAATGATTTTGTGCCATTGTAAAAATCTCAAAAATATGTCAAAGCAATTAAACAAGTTACAGCCCATGTAGTGTAACTCTAACCATTGTATACTTTTCAAAAATCTACTGAATAGGGGAGAGAGGATACCGTAAGGCTAGATCCAAAACTATCATTAATTTTATTTATATGATTACTGTTAGATCATGTAGCTAAGCTTTTGTTGCAATATGTGAAAATGTCAAACTTTGAAAGTGTGGAATGCCAAAGTAAATGTATATATTAAGAAATCTATACTCATAGCTGTAGCTTTATATTGAGTTTATTCATTTTTATTGTCAATTTATGTTCGTATAAACTTGCCACCTATTTTATGATATTTAAGAAATACAAACACATTCCAGAAGTTTTGTGTTATAGTATATAGCAAGAAAATATGTTTGTAAGGTTGTTTATCTAAATAGTAAATAACATAAAGATGATGTGCATAAATGTCTTAACTGGTGGTCTTGTGCGAAAATAGGGAAAATATTTGGATACGATGGATAGATCTGTTCAAGCAGGTGCCATCTTCTTGGCATTTAAACATTTGGAAATTCTAAATACATTTTTGAACTTTTAAAGTGTAAATGAACCTCTATATTTAAAAATCAACATTGTGGACTTTGTTCTTGAGTTTGGAGACCTCAAACATTGACATTTAAGCACACATTTTAGACATTACATACCGGTGAGGTTTAAATTATTTCTGGATTATTGTACTTTGAAATTCCATGATATATTGTGTCATGATACAAAAAATATGTCAATAAAATCAACATTTAGGATCTATAACTCATCAAACTGGATCAAAAGTGCCAAGCAACAAATAATGTAACAGCCATGTTGGATAAAACATGTCTCAAATGTTGATCTACTTTAAATATATTTTCTGTCAGTAAAATTAAACGAGACTGTAACTGGTAATTTATTTAGTGTAAAACATGCTAGATTTAAGCGTTCATATTTTATTCAATCTGATGACAGTTTCATCGAAACCAACATATGTATCACCTCACCAAAAATTGAAATACTTGTATTGTGAGTCTTTGTGACCTTCCTAAAAATTTATGCGTATTTGAATATTTAGAAATAGATCCTACAAAATACTAAAATAACAAATGTCATTAGTTTGTTTGATTTTCATTGACTTGGTTTCAAGGACATTAAAACCAAAACCTGTATATAGTGAACATTTTGGAGTCACAAAAAGTGTTCACTTTAGGTAGGTGTTCAATACATAGGGGATTTTATACAGGAGTCAATGTAAAATATGTCTAGAAGATGTGTTCACTAAACACTGGTGTTCACTAGAGAGAGAGGTGTTCACTAGGACAGGTTTTACTGGATTATGGTTTTACATGTGTATGATACATGTGTACATGTTAAGCCAGCTGATTTTGTCACAATGACTCTCCATCATGAATAGTACTAACTTATGGAAATAGGTTATTTAAATGGAGCAGATTCATATGTAAGGTGATCATCCCACCGAACGAAGTTCGTAGGGATATAGAGAGGCATCTGTTCATCTGTCTGGAGCTGATTCATATGTAAGCTGATTATCTAAAACTCTTTGGCCTTTCAATCTTCCCTAGAAAAAAGGAAAATTAAGACTCCTATATAGCCCACTGTAATACATATATTCATATATTATCTGTAAATTTTTCATCAACAGCGTTCAAATTAATATATATCCTGTTGGATAAGAAAAGGGAGGGGATTATTTTTCATTTTCCAGGTTGTAAAATGTTGCCCATATTCTCCTTTCATTTCTACATTTAGAATCACTCTGAGACAGTGTGAGAAACACCATTTCTACTCATCTGATTGATGCATTATTTATCATGAAACATTTGCACTTACATTAAATTAATAATGAAAATATAGTATGAGAGGTTATTGTGACCCATCAATATAACATACATTTATATTATACCATAGAATCAATATCATATAAAATACCTTTGCCCACATAAGTAGCACTGGTAGACGTAAAATTAAGGTAGGTAATGTCTGATGGTTTTCAGAGGAGTCAGAATTTTTAAGTACATGTACTTGACTACACGTATGTTTTATATTGTCATAGCTAACTTCTGTTTCATGATCTCCTTGAATGTAACATAATAACAATGGATTTAGGAAATTTCAGAGCTTTAAAAGTTCTGGCATTGCACCCAGGTAGCTAGAATTCATATACATCAAAATGATGTTAATGTAACTCATGTTAACCTTTTATTAAACAGGTTCTACTCTGGCCACCTTAATTGAGAAAAATCAAATTGATTTGCGTCATATATATATATCCTTTCAATAAACCAACTTCATAGTACATCCTCTATTATTACCCCAAGGCTTGGAGATGAAGCTCTTGTAAAGAAGTGAAATGAATAAATCGCAAAGGGTTATCCGTTATGAGAAGAATGAAGAAATCTTACATTTTAAAGAAGAAAGTATAGTGTAAATAATATCTTCAACATATAATTTCTAAGTATGCTCCTTTATCAATGTAACTCCTTAAGTCCTTCACAGGGTGTATTCTGATAGAGCAAGTATATAAATTCATATTTTCTATATTAACATATATAAGGTTATCTTCGATATCGCTCACACCTAACTAACCGTTTACTACACTGTACAGGTTACCATTCCTTAAAATGGTATAGTTTTAGTTGCATATTGATCAATGTACAACTTTAGTTATTGGGTATTCATGATATACTATATCAATTGTAATATCCTGCAACATTATACCAATTGTCTGCCACATCTATGGTGTTTTGATTTCTTCTATTTGGGCAATCTAGCCTTATACAAGAGTAGAAAATCTTGGCATATATACTAGGCTGGTCATATACACAAGAGTGGGTAATATATGGATGAGAGTGGGGAATCTAGCCTTATACCAGAGTATAAAATCTTGGCATATATACTAGGCTGGTCATATACACAAGAGTGGGTAATATATGGATGAGAGTGGGGAATCTAGCCTTATACAAGAGTGGATATATATGAGGTTAGGCAATCAAGTCTAATATAAGAGTGGG